AATCATAATATTATCTTCTCAAGAACTTTACCATTGATATTAGCTAATAAACAGGCCATATTCAAATTTCCTAACTGTCCCAATAATAAACTTTAGAGCATTTATTATTATTATTATTATTTTTTTTTTTTTGAGTCATGGTCTTGCTTTATTGACCAGGCTAAAATGCAGTGGCACGGTCATAGCTCACTGCAGCCTCGAATTCCTGGGCTTCAGCAATTCTGCTGCCTCGTTCTCCCAGGTAGCTGGGACCACAGGCACAGGCCACCATGCCATGGGTGGGGCGCTTGGCTCCGTGCCTGGCACCGAGGAGGTGCGATATGTTTGCTATGATCAGTATCATCCTCTGTTGCATAAATTTTTCTTGGGGAACTGCTGGGTCAGAGGGCGTGTTCGCTGTCGCAGACGCAGCCACGAGCGCTCTGCAAGCCTGTTTCCCACGGCTTCGCCAACGCAGCAACCGCCAAGTCAGCCTCTTTGATCTTTGCCTTCTCAGAGGAGAAAAGCGAGATCCCGGGGAGGTTTTTAATTTGCATTGATTTTCTAATGAATGCGGTTCAGCATTCTTCCAAGGAGGCTTTGCGGTTTTCAGAGCTGGCGGCAGGATCCTCCCCGGGGGAGACGTGGTCTTTGCTGGGGCAGAGCCAGGCGCGGTGGTGGAGGTGGATTTGAGTCTCGGGGAGCGCGCGGGAGCTGGGCACGGCCCCGTGCGTGAGAGGATCTGGCATTTTCCTGGGCAGCCTCGGCGAGGGAGCGTCGTGGAGGGTGAGTAAAACCTCGGGATTATACTCTGCCAAACCGGCTAAAAATCCGTATCCAAGGCCGGGCGCTGTGGCTCACGCCTGTAGGTTCAGCACGTTGGGAGGCCGAGGTGGGTGGATCACGAGGTCAGGAGTTCAAGACAAGCCTGGCCAAGATGGTGAAACCGCTGTCTCTACTAAAAATACAAAAAATTAGCCGGGCGTGGTGGCAGGTGCCTGTAATCCCAGGTACTCGGGAGGCTGAGGCAGGAGAATCACTTGAACCTGGGAGGTGGAGTTTGCAATGAGCCGAGATTGCGCCATTGCACTCCAGTCTGAGCGACCGAGTGAGACTCCGGTCTTAAAAAAAAAAAAAGAAAAGAAAAAATCCGTATTCAGTAGAATTGCCAAGACAGCAGAAGACCGTGGTTCACACCTTCTTCCCTTAAATAATGACAGCTCGCAGGTATTGATCGTGACCTAAGTACCAGGCCCTGTCTAGAGCTTTCTAAAAGAGTGAAAACTTCCTCTCCCTCTTTCTCTTTCTTTCATTCTTTTTTCTTTTCTTTTTCTCTTTCTTAAAAAAAAAAAAAAAAAAAAAAAAAAGAGTGAACTCCCAAAGTCAGCATCACAACCCTGAGGGCGGTGCTGCGATTATTCCCGGTGTACAGAGAGGAAACTCGAGGCTCAGAGAGGTAAAGTGGCTTACCGAAGGTCACACAGCTGGCTGAGCACGGTGGCTCAAGCCTGGAATTCCAGCACTTTGGGAGGCCTAGGCGGGCGGATCGCCTGAGGTCAGGAGTTTGAGACCAGCCTGGCTTGCATGGTGCAACCCCGTCTTTAATAAAAATGCAAAAAATTAGCTGGGTGTGGTGGCGCGTGCCTGTAATGCCAGCCACTCCAGAGTCTGGAGAGTCGCTTGAACGAGGGAGGCAGAGGTTGCAGTGAGCCGAGATCGCGCCACTGCTCTCCAGCCTGGGCAACAGAGCGAGACTCTGCCTTAAAAAAAAAAAAAAGAAATTAAAAAAGAAGATCACACAGCAAGTAAGTGCAGAGTGGGGACTTGACGGATCTGACTCCGTTAACCCATCTAGTTAGTTATGTTTACCAAGCGCCTGTCTGGTGAAGGTCACTGTTTTTGGCATAGCAGAAAGAAGACAAAGATGCCTACCTTTGAACGACTGGCATTTTAGGGGGTAGCACTGACGTTCCAGGGAAGGAGCTAACATTTAAGGGAGAGGGGCTGGCATTTGGGGGAGGGGATAACTTCCGGAGGCGGGGCTAAAATTCCAAGGGGGAGGAACTGACATTCCAGGAGGAGAAATTGACATTCGGAGGGGAGGGCCTAACATTCCAGGGGGAGGAGCTAACATTTCAGGAGGGTGGGCTAATATTATAGTACAATTACACACGTAATCACTACCTCTGTTTCTAACATTTTAGGGTAATTACATGCTCTTAATCACTACCTCTGTTTCTCTCAGGCAATAAAGGAGGGGGTAACATGCCAAGGGGAGGAACTGACATTTCAGAGGGAGAAATGGACATTCTAGGGGGAGGAGCTAACAATGGGGAGGGGCTAACATCGCAGGAGAGAAATTTACATTTCAGGGGGAGGAGCTAATGTTGCAGAGACGAAATTGACATTTCAGCGGGGCGGAGCTAACACTGCAGGGGAGAAATTGACACTCGAGGGAGGGGCTCACATTCAAGAGGAGAAGCTAACATTGCCGGGGAGAAACCGAAATTTCAGGGGCGGGGCTGACACTCTCTATCCTTCAAAGCCTACAGCCTCCGCCTCCTTGCCATACCTTGTTCCTACAAGTGTTGGTTGAGCTCATAGTAGGTGCAAATGTCTGCCACCCTGAGGATTCGAACGTGCCTGAAAAGAATGGAGTCTGCCCTCATAGAGCTCGCAGGCTGGGGGCAGACAGTTCTGAACGGAATGATCCCACAGAAAGGCATTCACCTCCCAGGCAGGAGAGGTAATTACTCGCTCTTAATCACTACCTCTGTTTGAGGCACTATGGGAGGGAAGGCGGCGCCCCCAACGTGGCCTGGTTTGAGGTGTTCCCAGCCGTAGGAGACAGACAGACTGTCAAGTGTCGGAAAATAGCTGTTATGGGAATCCTCACCTCCTGACACCTTCCCAGCCCCGTGCGCCCGAATCCCTCCCGCGTGGTTGCAGAGTTATAGGTTCTGCTCCTGTTGACGGGCAACCCGGTAATCTCCATTGCTCACGGCAGCACTGCTGGGGCACAGCAGCTCCTGGGGGCCAAGGTCCCAGCCAGGACGTGAAGTCAGGGCCAAGACTGGAACGCAGAACTGCAAGTCTAGAGTCTCCGTCCTTCCCCATCCACCACCAGATGTGATGTGGGTTTCCTGGTTTCCGTTCTTGTTCACGTGGAATAAAAGGACAAGGCGGGGGAGTGACAGCCGCACCTGACGTCCCCCTACCACGGAGGGGGATTTTTGTCTGTTTCCTTTGCTGCTGTGTCTGCTGAACCTGGGACATGCCCTGCACTGAGTGATGCCCCCTTGCACACCTACAGTCTCACACTGACTGATCTGGGTTTACTAAATGTCAGTGATTCACTCCTTTGAAAGTTGGGGATCCTGTTTGACTCCCATTGTGGTCGTGGGTGCTGGGGACCCCCAGAAGAGTCAGGTCTAGACCCTGCTCTCAAAAAGCCCTCAGAGGCCAGGTGCAGTGGCTCAGCCTGTAATCACTTAGCACTTTGGGAGGCTGAGGTGGGAGTCAGGAGTTCGAGACTAGCCTGGCCAACATGGTGAAACCCCATCTCCAATAAAAATACAAAAATTATTGGCTTGGTCATTCCTTAAACTTGTGGGATAAAAGAGGAAAAAAAATACAAAAATTAGCCATCTGCAGTGATGGGATAAAGCAAGCTACTCTAGGATGAGGAAACAGCAAGGGCAAAGGCTGCATGTGTGCCTGAGTGTGAAGCTGCATGGCTTGTTCCAGAGACCGCAGAGGAGAAAGAAGGGAAGTGGTAAGCCAAGAGGCTGGTGAGGTGGGCGGGGCCCCAACCAGCAGGGCTGCAAATGCCAGGCAGAGGGGCTGAGACCTTATCCTGGGATCTATGGGAAGAGAGTCGTTGGGGAAATAAATGAGTCCTGCTTTCAGAGGAGGAAGCTGAGGTTTATGTTCAGACCCTGCTCGGCAGTCTCTCTGATCTCCAGCCAGCCCCCAGCTCCCACTTCCTCTTCTGTCCACTAGGGAGCTGCCCACACAGTCCCCCTATGAGTCTTCAGGGGAAGACCAGGCCACCAGCTCCTGCTTAGGGTCCCTTGAAGACACCTGCTCCCCATTTGCCAGTGAGCTCCAGACACAAGGGAACAGAGACGTACACTGAGGCCCAGACAGCAGGGCCTGGATGTGAAACTGCTGAGCTGACATGGAGCCTCCGAAGTCTCACGGATGTGAGTTTGAGTCCAGGCTTGGTCTCTGCTTTGTGCGTTGTGTGGAGCAGGTGAATCCCTCTCTCTGAACCTGAGAGGTGCAGCTGTGCAGGAGCCCACCTCCTGGGGCTTTGAGACTGAAACATGCAGCTTTCCCGGGAGGATGAAGGAAGGCATCAAGGTTTAAGGGAGTGAGGTGGGAGACAGGGGCTAGCTGTTTGATGGATGGGGACTTTGTCCAGGGCCACTGGGGAGCCATGGGCAGGTTATGAGCTGAGGAGAGGCAGGTCAGCTCTGAAGCCATATGAGGATGGACTGGAGTGGGAGACTGGAGGCAGGGAGGCCAGGGAGGAGGAAGAGGCCCAACCTGGGCCATCATAATGGGGATAGAGTGGAGGTGACTGGGCAGAGTCAGTCAGGAGAGAAAGAACAGGGAGAGGATGATGCCAGGGTCTAGGTGGCTGGTGGGGCCCTCCCTGAGGCAAGGGACCTGGCTGCGTTTCAGGGACAGCAGTGGGACATGCTAACATGGAGGCCTGTGGGTGCTAACACCATCGTCCAGCCACGGAGGACCCTCCAGAGATGCAGTGGACAGTACCCCTTACAGCTCTATGCTTGCCCGGGGCTGCCCTCCTCCTCCTCTCTGCCCTCACTGTCTGCCCTCACCTTGTACCTCCTGGTCATGGCCAGCCACAGCCTGGTGATCTGGGCCGCAGGGCCCCTCCTACCTCCTTTGCTGTCTGCCATCTGGCTCAGCCACCAGACCATGGCCGATGCCATCTTCACCACCCTCCTGCTGCTGACCCTCATCTGGACGTGCTCTGGCTGGCCGCTGGGTGGTGCCTTCTGAACCTGAGAAGTGCAAATATTTCTCTCCACATTTCTCTGCCGTGGCCCTCCTGGGCACAGTGTTCTGGGCTGGCACATTCTGACTCCTTCTGCTGGGCCTGGGTGGGCTGGCCTTCGCAACTTGGAGGACCAGGTAAACCGGGCGGACCCCCCAACTAACGGCACACTAACCGGAGAGCCATCTGGCTGACGCCAGGACTCTGGACATTCCCCACGTTGAATCAGCTGGTGTTTGGCTTTGGGGTGCCTCTGGGGGTGCTGCTCAGACCCCTGGGGTTCACGCTGGTGGGGGCCTGCAACTGCCTCAACCCTCTGCCCTAAATGTGTAGGGACCAGTCCTTCAGGCGGCTGCTGGCCCAGGCCCTCTGGTCCTGCCAAAGAGAAGCGTCTGAAGATGCACAGGTGGCAGTGGGCACCGGGGATGGGCCCTTGCTGACCTGCGAGGGTCTGAAGGAAAATTCCTGGGGAGTTAGGGAGGGTGGGTAGGGAGGGGGCAGCCTCCCACGTCAACCTTCAGATAATGTGAAACGCTGAGCTGAGAAAAGCCAGAGATGAGCAGGGCAGGGAGGCAGAGAGAGATGGAGTAAGAGAGAGGGGGACAGAGACCCAGAGACAGGGGGACGGAGACCCAGAGAGAGGGGATACAGAGACCCAGAGAGAGAGGGGGACAGAGACCCAGAGAGGGGGACAGAGACCCAGAGAGGGGGAACAGAGACCCGGGGGGGGGGACAGAGACCCAGAGGGGGAATTCAGAGACCCAGAGAGAGGGGGGACAGAGACCTGGGGGGGGCACAAAGACCCAGAGAGAGGGGGGAGGACAGAGACCCAGAAAGAGAGGGGGACAGAGACCTGGGGGGGGCACAAAGACCCAGAGAGAGGGGGGAGGACAGAGACCCAGAAAGAGAGGGGGACAGAGACCCAGAGAGAGGGGGACAGAGACCCAGAGAGAGAGCGGGACAGAGACCCAGAGAGAGGGGGACAGAGACCCAGAGAGAGGGGGACAGAGACCAAGAGAGAGAGACAGAGACCCAGAGAGAGGGGGACAGAGACCCAGAGAGAGGGGGACAGAGACCCAGAGAGAGGGGGACAGAGACCTACAGAGAGAGACATGGCGGGGGGGGGGACAGAGACCCAGAGAGAGAGGGGGACAGAGACCCAGAGAAACAGGGAGACCTTAGGGGGGGCACAGAGACTCAGAGAGAGAGAGGGGGAACATAGACCCAAAGAGGCAAGGAGAGACACAGAAAGTAAGGCAGAAGAGGTGAGTGGGAGCAGGAGTAATGTAGTCAGGTGGGAGATGCACAGAGACACAGAGGGGAGGGGAGAGACGGGCCAGGCTGCCGGGAGGGACAAGTGGGAGACAGAAAAGGCCACGGAGGCCAAGACTCGTGTGAGACAGAAACACGGAGCGCTCTAGTGAGAGAAGGAAACAGAACCGGAGTTGGAGGAACGGGAGGAGGGGAGAATCACCACTGAACAGGACAGAAACACAGGGACTGAGAGAGGAGGAGCCAGCTTTGACAGCGAGGCAGAGGGCCTGGGTGGAAGGCCTGGAACACAGACGTGGCCTAGGGATTGGGCAAGTGGACCGAGGGACCAACCGCTGTGGCCATCCCAGGACTGAGCAGTTCCCAGTGCTGAAGGCAAATCTTTGTGTCAAACAGAGCTCACTGGTCCCAGTGGGTGGCACAGAATGAGGTACAGGAGCGGGCCACTGGCTTTTCTGGTTCCCGAAGGAGCCCACTGTGAAATACGAAAGTGCCTTCTGCCCTTGCCCCCCAGGCCCTCTGCCCTGGGAAATGTGTGGTTTACCTTCCTTCATTTTCAAATCCTGAATGTTTCCAAATGAAAAGGTCAATTTGGCCCCACTTTTTTTTTTTTTTGAGACAAATCTTGCTCTGTTCCCCAGGCTGGAGTGCAGTGGCACAATCTCAGCTCACTGCAACCTCCCCCTCCCAGGTTCAAGCGATTCCCCTGCCTCAGCCTCCGGAGCAGCTGGGACTCCAGGCACGTGCCACCATGCCCGGCTAATTTTTTCTGTATTTTTAGTAGAGACGGGGATTCACCATGTTAGCCAGGATGGTCTTGATCTCCTGACCTGGTGATCCGCCCTCCTTGGCCTCCCAAAGTTCCGGGATCACAGGTGTGAGCCACTGTGCCCGGCCTGGCCCCATATTTTGAGTCTTTGATGTATCCATGGAGCTCCCTCTGAAATGCAGTCAGCTCCAAGAAGAGGAAAATCGACCTCTTCGTCTTCTGTGAACGCATTACAGAGATGCCTCTTGACCCTGGCTACACAGCAGAATCTCCAGGGAGAGCTTTCAGAATAAAATCGATGCCCGGGCCCCATCCCCAGGCCTTGTGGTTTAAGTGGTCCAGGGAGGAGCTCAGCTCTGGGAATTTCAAAACCTCCCCAGGGATTTCTGCGGGGAGCTGGGCTGAGACCTATCTATCTGTGGTTGTGAAAATATGGCCTTGGGCCGGGAGCAGTGGCTCACGCCTGTAATCCCAGCACTTTGGGAGGCTGAAGCAGGTGGATCATTTGAAGTCAGGAGTTCGAGACCAGCCTGGCTAACATGGTGAAACGCTGTCTCTCCTAAAAACTTGAAAATTAACCTGGTGTGATGGCGGGCACCTGTAATCCCAGCTACTCGGGAGCCTGAGGCAGGAGAATTGCTTGAACCTGGGAGGTGGAGGTTGCAGTGAGCCGAGATCACGCCACTGCATTCCAGCCAATAGAATGAGATTCTGTCTTTAAAAAAAAAGAAAAGAAAAGAAAGAAAACAGAACCTTGAAAACTCCCAGAGGACTGAGAAAGGCAGCACTGAGTGGCTCAAAACCCTGGGGTGCGGGTGGGAAATTGGGGGGGGAATGCAAAGACCAGCTTTGTTGTCAATATTTGTTAGTGGCAATGAAGGGTGCTTTGCTCATGTCTGTAATCCTAACACTTTGGGAGACCATGGTGGGAAGATTGTTTGAGGCCAGGAGTTCGAGACCAGCCTGGGCAACATAGAATGACCTCATCTCGACCAGGCACGTGGCTCAAACCTGTAATCCCAGCACTTTGGGAGGCCAAGGCGGGTGGATCATGAGGTCAAGAGATCGAGACCATCCTGGTCAACATGGTGAAAGCCCGTCTCTACTAAAAATACAAAAAATTAGCTGGGCATGGTGGCGCGTGCCTGTAGTCCCAGCTACTCAGGAGGCTGAGGCAGGAGAATTGCCTGAACCCAGGAAGCAGAGGTTGCGGTGAGCTGAGATTGCACCATTGCACTCCAGCCTGGGTAACAAGAGGGAAACTCCGTCTCAAAAAAAAAAAAAAAAAAAAAAAAAAAAAAAAAAAAAAAAAAAGAAAGACCTCATCTCTACTGAAAAAAAAGAAAAAAATCAGCCAAGCACAGTGGCATACACCTATGGTCCCAGCTGCTAGGGAGGCTGAGGTGGGAGATTCCCTTGAGCCCAGGAAGTAGAGGCTGCAGTGATTCATGATTGAACCACTGCACACAGGACTGGGTATAGAGATGACCTTGTAAAAATACACTGCACAGTAACTTGCATGGTGGCTTAGCAAACAAGAGGTGCTTAATAAATAATGGTAGCTAACGACAATGAAAAAAAGTTTCCCAAACATTGGCAGCCAAGCCACAGCTGGGGGTTTAGCAAGGGTCAGATGCTGTTCAGGGCAACCCCACCTGAAGCTCCCTGTGACAGCTGGGAAGGAGGGGAGGCAAAGTCAGGGCAGCAGGCAGGAGAGACGGACTTTGCTTAGGGTTCCAGGAAGCCTCGGGGGAAGAGATGGGAAAGTGACACAAAACAGACCTGGGAGGCCGTGCGCAGTGGCCCACGCCTATAATCCCAGCATTTTGGGAGGCCAAGACAGGCAGAGCACCTGAGGTCAGGAGTTTGAGACCAGCCTGGCTAACATAGTGAAACCCCATCTCTACTAAAAATATAAAAATTAGCTGGGCGTGGTGGTGGGCGCCTATAATCCCAGCTACTCAGGAGGCTGAGACAGGAGAATCTCTGGAACCTGGAAGGTAGAAGCCAAGATGGCGCCACTGCACTCCAGCCTGGGCGAAAGAGCAAAACTCGGTCTCAAACAACAACAAAAAAAAAAACAAAAAAAGATATGGGAAAGAGCGCTCCAGGCTGGGGCCCAGCAGTCCACAGGTGTAGAGCTGCAGTCTAGACTATCTTCAAGTTCCCTGTGGCCAAGGATACACCAGGGCGGGCATGGGAGGTGGGTGAGATTTTTTTTTTTTAAGCCTGGAGGGGGTCAGGTTACACACAGCCCCCAATGCTCGGTGGAGGGCCTGGGATTCTTATCTCAGGTGAGGGCGCAGGGCCACTTGGAGGGCTGTGAGGAGAGAGGGACAGGGTCAGCTCTGGGTACAGGAGGACCCCTCTGAGGACTGGAGGAGAGAGACAGAAGGCTGGGGTGAGTCCAGCGGGAGAGGAAGCCCAGGCAGGGAGGGAGGAAGCAGCCCAGGACCCCCCAGGTCTCAAAAACAAACAAAAAAACTAACTGTAGTTTTTGCCAAAACCAACATTTATATCTTGTGCCCAACCTTTGAGGAAACCAATTTCTAGCTGAGAAAATAGTGCAACATTGCCACTGTGTGGTTGTTTGAAGTTTTGCAGCCAAAAACTCGAAAGTAAAGCCAGCCTCCAAATCGGGAAGCTTTTGAGATTTCAGGAGAATGCTATGGCCGCCGATGCTAAAACATTGGCCTAAAATATTGGTGATCCACAAAAATTCTATTAATTTGATATAAAATTACAGTGCGACTATAAATCTGTTTATTACTGAAATTTGTGGCCGGGCACAGTGGTGCACACTTATAATCTCAGCACTTTGAGAAGCTGAGGTGGGCGGATCACCTGAGGTCAGGAGTTTGAGACCAGCCTGACCAACATGGAGAAACCCTATCTCTACCAAAAATACAAAATTAGCTGGGTGTGGTGGCACATGCCTGTAATCCCAGCTACTCAGGGACCGAAGCAGGAGGACCGCTTGAGCCCAGGAGGTTGTGGTGAGCCGACATCGTGCCATTGCATTTCAGCCTGGACAAGAAGAGCAAAACTCTGTCTCAAAAACAAACCCAGCCTGGCCAACATGGTGAAACCCCATGTCTACTAAAAATACAAAACTTGGCCAGGTGTGGTGGCAGGTGCCTGTAGTCTCAGCTACTCGGGAGGCTGAGACAGGAGAATCACTTGAACCCAGAGGCGGAGGTTGCAGTGAGCAGAGCTCATGCTCTTGGGCGACAGAGCGAGATTCCATTTCAATAAAATAAAATAAAAAATCTGTTAGGCTTTTCCAGGAAAATCTGGCATGTATAGTCAACCCTACTCCAAAGCCACCGTTTCAGATACTGAGTTGAAATGAAATCCCTTCTGACTAGATGAGAAGGTAGGTGAAATGCCACTGCAGGTTGAGGTGTCCCCCAGGGCATTCACCCGGGGATGCTGGAGACAGAGGCAGGGGCTGGGGGAGGGGCACTAAGCAAGGGGCTGCTAGTGAACTGCCTATAGGGGCTGGTCTGGATACTTTCTTAGGGAGGGACATTGCTGGTGGGTGTTGAAGGTTTAATAGAAGTTTGCTTCTATTAAAAAGAGAAAAGAGGCTGAGTACAGTGGCTCATACCTTAATTCCAACACTTCAGGAGGCTGAGGCAGGAGGATTGCTTGAGGCCAGGAGTTAGAGACCAGCCTGGGCAACATAGTGAGACCCTGTCTCTAAATATTAAAAAGTTAGCTGGGCATGGTGGTGCACACCTACAGTCCCAGCTACTCAGGAGGCCGAGGCAGGAGGATTGCTTGAGCCAGGAGCTCAGGGTTGCAGTGAGCTATGATCACACCACTGTACTTCAGCCTGGGCAACAAAGTGAGATCCCATCTCAAAAAGAAAAAAAAAAGAGGAAGAAGTGTTGATACAGTACAACAGTGAAGAAGATGGTGGTAACTGCAGCTGACCAAGTGCATTCCAACCTTGGATCTCAGACTGCCTCGGCTGTGGTTTTCTGGGTCCCACGGGACAAAGATTTTTGCTTCTGTCTGATGGAGAAGACATGGGGCGATCAGAGGGAATTAACAAATGTGAAGTACACAGCAGCCTGTGCTGGTGCCAGGTGCTGAAGCTGCCCTGCTCTTTCTCACTCTGGGCCCTTACATCCAAAGTTGAAATGTTCTTCCCCTTCTTCAAATGCCCCACAAAGACTCCTACTCATCCCTCAAAACCCAGCTCCTAGCCTCAAACCTGAAAGGGTGGGCCCTCACCACTCTCCTACCTCAGAGCCTGGAGATTGGACCCCCTACCCAACTCTGTCCTGAAACAGAGAGCTCCCAGGTGTGGGGCAGGCCCGGGCTGGGCACAGGGGCCATGGCGCGGGCAGCAGGGTGTGCAGAGTCAGTTACATTTATTTGGTCTCAGAGCAATGGTCAGGGCAGAGGCAGGGCTCTTGGGTGTGGAGGTCCTGTGTCTTCTCACTGCTGAGCCTGAGAGAGGAAAACGGAGATATACAGAGATGAGGGAGAGAAAGAGACCAGGATGACCAAACTGGGCCAGGGAGACAGAGACTCCACCCCACCTCCGCCTCTCCTCCCACTCACCTTGTTGAAGAAGTAGAGGGAGGCCAGGATGGTGAACACGGCCATGGCCAGGGTCACATTCTGCAGGGAGATCAGAGGTCGGGACCCTTCCCCTCCCTGCCCTCTGCCCTGCCCCAGGCCTCCCTTCCCTGCCAGACCCCTCCTCACTTCCTGAAAGTTCATGGCCATGGGACTTCAGCCACCCCCTGCTTGGCCTCTGTTTCTCTTTCCTGGGCCTCTGAGCCAGAGAGGGGAGAAGCCACTGGAACCCCAAGAGGGGATTGTTGAAGAGACCAGAATGGTGGCCATGGCAACGGGGGAAGGGCATTCTGGTAGAGGGGACAGGCAGGGCCTTAGGGCAGAGGGAGACCCAGGTGTGGCCCGCAACACGTGGTATCTGAATTTGACATCAGGACATGTGAGATTGGAGAGTTTGAACCTCAAACACCACACTGAGGTGTTTGGGTTTTTCCTTGGAGGGTGCTGGGGAGCCATGGGAGGGTTGAGAGCAGAGGATGGACTGGCTCAGTTCTAGGTGTAAAAGTACCTCAAAGCATGAGGAGGCCCAGGCAAAATTTCCTCCTCCAGATGGAAGCATCATGTGAGCCCGGGGGGGTTGAGGTTGCCGTGAGCCACTGTACTCCAGCCTGGGCAACAGAGTGAGATCCTGTCTCTACAACTACAATTTAAAAAAATAAAATAATAATATAACTCGATCACTTGCAGGTGAGCAAAAAAAGAGAAAATAGAAAAAAATAAAATAAAATACACGTGATACATGTGTGAGATATCTATTTACCTCTCTATCACTGCCACAAAAAGGGAATTACCAAATGTGAAGTACACAGCAGCCTGTGCTGGTGCCGGGTGCAGAAGCTGCCCTGCTCTTTCTCACTCTGTGAGAAACGGAATTATATGGTCTGGCTATTCAGATAGTTGTTTGGATTATTTGTGGCAGATAATAGTCTCGATATTTTTGGTAGTTATATTGTATAACTGTGAACACTTCTTGGGGAAATATATATATATAAAATATATATACACATATATTTTTAATATCTATACACGTACATATAAATATATATACATATATAATATACATATAAACATATAATATATACGTAACTAAACTACAACTAAACTATAAACTACAATATATACACATATAAATATATATACACGTATGTGTGTGTGTATACACATATATAACCCATCTCTACTAAAAATACAAAAAAATTAGCCAGGGATGATGGCGCACATCTATAATCCCAGCTACTTGGGAGGCTGAGGCAGGAGCATCACTTGAACCCAGTGGGGTGGAGGTTGCAGTGAGCCCAGATCACACCACTGCACTCCAGCCTGGGCAACAGAGCAAGACTCCATCTCAAGAAAAACAAAAATAATAAATAATAAATATATATTGAAAAATACATACTTTTATTAATGAAGCAATGGTTTATTATGTGTTGATTCAGTGGTCACAGTCATACAACATCGCTTCTGTGAATAACAAGAATTCATTGTAAAATGATACCTCAGGGAACCACCCAGAAACTTCCAGAAGAAACACATTCTGCAGAGCAGCTGGTACCATCTCTCCAACAAATCCAGGGCACAAAGCAAAACAAAAGCAAGTGTCCTTGATAGATATGAAAAAATCCATTTAGAGACACAGGACCAGCTTTAATGGCTGATCATGGACCGGGTTTTGGTTTGGACAAACAAGTTATAAAAGGCTCTCTGGGTGGGAGGCAGAGGCAGGAGGATCACTTGAAGCCAGAAGTTTGAGACCAGCCTGGGCAGTGTGGCGAAACTCTGTCTCTACTAAAAACACAGAAAAATAAGCCAGGCGTGGTGGTGCACACCTATAGTCCCAACTACTCTGAGGCTGAGGCAGGAGGATCATTTGAATCTGGGAGGCAGAGGTTGTAGTGAGCCGAGATCGCACCCCTGCATTCCAGCCTGGGTGACAGAACAAGACTCTGTATCCAAAAACCAAACAAAACAACCAAAGTGTCTCTGGGGAGAAATTGAGGGACAGAGAGTCGGTATCAGGCGAGATGAAAGCACTTTCGCCAAGGAGAAGAGGAGGGTGTTAACTGAAAGGCGCCGGCCACAAAACTGCAGGTTCCGTATGATCTCATTTTGGTGAGAAGTACATATACGAAAATTATGTACTTCTCACCAAAATGAGATGTGCATTTAAAAATCAGGTTTGGGCCGGGCGCGGTGGCTCATGCTTATAATCCTAGCATTTTGGGAGGCCAAGGCAGGTGGATCGCCTGAAGTTAGGAGTTCGAGACCAGCCTGATCAACATGGTGAAACCCTGTCTCTACTAAAAAATAACAAAATTAGCCAGGCGTGGTGGTGTGTGCCTGTCATCCCAGCTACTCAGGGAGACTGAGATAGAATTGCTTGAACTTGGGAGGCAGAGGTTGCAGTGAGCCAACATCAAGACATTGTACTCCAGGCTGGGAAACGGAGCAAGACTCCATTTAAAAAAAAAATCAGGTTTTATTCCCAGGATGGAGTGGAGGGCTCACTGCAGCCTCAACTTCAGGCTCAAGCAATCCTCCCGCCTCAGCACCCCTACCCCCAACAAGTGGCCGGGACTACAGGTGTGCACTACAGCTGGCTAATTTTTTATTTTTAGCAGAGATGGGGTTTCATCATGTTGTCCAAGCTGGTCTGAAACTCCTGGACTCAAGTGATCTGCCCACCTCGGTCTCCCAAGGTGTCAGGATTACAGACATCAGCAGCCAAGCCTTGTCTAGTTACACTGATTTTAGACTCCTGACCTCCAGAACCTTAGGGAATAAACGTGTGTCCAGAGTGGTAACTTGTCATAGCAGCCACAGAGCAGCCAGTAATACATCAGCAGACATTAAAGTGCTAACACTTGGGGGCTAGAACATGGTTTCTAGCTTCTTAATTTTGTTTCAGGGTTTTAACTCACTGCAGCCTCAAATTCCTGGACTCATGCGATCCTCCCATCTCAATCTCTTGTGTCGCACCACAGACACACGCACCATATCATGCCTGGCAAATTTTTGTTTCTTTTTTATAGAGACAGAGTGGGGAGTCTCACCGTGTTGGCCAGGCTGGTGTGCGCTGCTAGCTCTTGGTCTGCCTCAAGCCTCCAGCTCTTCTATTTCTTTATTCTAGGGGCCTCTACCTTATTTCCAGTGGGGGAAGAGAGGGATTCACAAAGCTTTTGTATCCTGTGTGCTGGCTCACACCTGTAATCCCAGCACTTTGGGAGGCTGAGATGGGAGAACTGCTTAAGCCCAGGAGTTCAAGAGCAGTCTGGGCAATGCAGTGGAACCCTGTCTCAAACAAACAAACAAACAAAACGACCAGGAGAGGGCTGGAGGCTGACTGTCCACAGTGAGGCAGGGGCCAGCCCCACGTGGTGCTGTGAAGTGTAGGTTTGATCATCATTCTGGGATGGTGAGGCCGCCCGAGCAGCAGATGACTGCCATTAAAAGGTGACTTGTCGGCCAGGCGTGGTGGCTCACACCTATAATCCCAGCACTTTGGGAGGCCGAGGCAGGTGGATCACGAGGTCAAGAGATTGAGACCATCCTGATCAACAAGGTGAAACACTGTCTCTACTAAAAATACAAAAATTAGCTGGGCACGGTGGCGTGTGCCTGTAGTTCCAGCTACTCGGGAGGCTGAGGCAGGAGAACTGCCTGAACCCAGGAGGCGGAGGTTGCAGTGAGCCGAGATCGCACCATTGCACTCCAGCCTGGGTAACAAGAGCAAAACTCCGTCTCAAAACAAAAAACAAAAATAAAAATAAAAGGTGACTTGTCATACTCACAGTTTCCCCAGAGGAGGGGGCATGTCACAGGGACTGCATGAGGAGGCACCAGGGGTGCCCAGGAGGCAGACCACAGGCAAGCATCTTCCGTGTGTTTTCTGTGGGATACAGGTGTTAAGGAGTGGCTGGCTGAGCCATTCAGCAGGCTCTGGGCACTGAGGCTATCCTGAGTTGTCCATTACCCTGCCCTGGGTGATCAGGGCAGGTGGATGGTGGCTCGGGTGGTTGGGGTGTGGGCTCTGGGTTGGCTGGTTTGCACAGAGAGGTATGCTCCTGGACCGGTCATGACTTTCTAGGAAGTGGTAACCCTGGGAGGGGCAGTCCTTCTATAATTGGCAAGGCCCCCATGTCAAAGCATCAAAGTACAGAAAATCAAGCACATGGTTACTCCTCTGTAACTCGAGGCGTTGAGGCTGTTGCTGAGACGAACAATGTGGGGTGCCGGTGGGGTTGTCTTTCAGTCTCCATCCAAGTTAAAGCACCTGGGTTCAAATCGCAGCTTTGAGAAATCTGTGTTTTCTCAGACAAGTTCCTGAACCCATCTGTGCCTCAGTTTCCCCATTGGCACAATGGGGGTGGTGATAAGCATATTAATCCCTCCTGGGGCTGTGGTGAAGATGAAATGGGTTAATCCAAGGCTGGCGGAGGCGCAGGAGGAGCGGGATCGGCAGCCCTGGGGGAGCGTGCCAGGGCCTGCTATAATGGGGGTGCTGAGTGCAGTGCTGGGACAGGCAGGGCTGCGGCCCAGACAGTGGGCTGAGCTCAGCGTCTGGGCCGGGTGGAAATGGCCGGGCTGGGGTTTTGGGGCCACCCTGCTGCATCTCTCCTGCTGCTCCTGCTGCTGCTGCCACCCCGGGCCCTGCCAGAAGGACCCCTGGTGTTTGTGGCTCTGGTGAGGCACCCCCGCCCCAGGCGGCCCTCAGCTCCCCCAGGGCTAGCCCTGACCGGTCCTGTCCCCAGGTGTTCCGCCACGGCGACCGGGCACCACTGGCCTCCTATCCTACGGACCCACACAAGGAGGCGGCCTCCACCCTGTGGCCACGAGGCCTGGGCCAGCTGACCAGGGTGAGAAGTGGGTGGGGGGTGAGGGTGAGGGTGGGAGGGGTGGGGAGGGGTTGGCTGAGGCTGTTCTGTCCCCAGGAGGGTGTCCGCCAGCAGCTGGAGCTGGGCCGCTTCCTGAGGAGCCGCTACGAGGCCTTCTTGAGTCCCAAGTACCGGCGGGAGGAGGTACTGCCACAGTGACCTCCACCTGGCACGCTGACCTCCCACCTTTGACCTCCACTAACTCCAACGCTTTTTGGGCCTCCACCTCTGGACTTTGAGCTCCATCAACCTGCCCTGCACTCTACCTCTAACCTCTGACCCCCAGTACACCGATAGCGCACCCTGCCTTCTGACCCCATCTCAACCCTGCCACATCTTGAGCTCTGACTCCTGACTTCATTCTCCGGCCTCCACCTGTTTTCTGAGTCCCACTGACTCCAGCCAGACCTGACCTCTGACATTTGATCCCAAACTTGGTTTCCATCTTCAACCCTTGTTGATTTAACTTGCTCTCCTGATGTCTAACCTTGGACCTCTACACTTTGTCAATTCTGACCTACCTTTCCTGTCTTCTGACATCCCCCAGTTGGAATCAGTCTTCCTAACAGCTGTTGAACATGAATGAACACTGACCCCAAGTCCTCCAAGCTGCCCTCCTAAACTTGACCTCTAACCTCCGGCCTCCACTGATTCTCATCTCCCTTTTTGACCCTCATTGACTCAACCCCCAAAATCCAACATGGCTGTCCAGCTTAGGATGCCCAACCCAACTGCTCCTGACACTGACCTCTGGACCCTTGATTCCAACTTCCAGCATCAAAGGCCACATGACTGCCAATGTCTGACCCCTACCCCAAACGGAATCTGAGGCTGATTTGCACCACAGCTGACCTCTGACTCTGACCACGACCCCCCATGAGCCCTCTCCCCACCCGGCCCCAGGTGTATGTTCGCAGCACAGACTTTGACCGCACGCTGGAGAGTGCCCAGGCCAATCTGGCTGGACTGTTTCCCGAGGCTGCTCCAGGGAGCCCCGAAGCCCAATGGAGGCCAATCCCAGTGCACACAGTGCCTGTGGCTGAGGACAAGGTCAGGGGCCAGACCGGGTGTGGTGAGGGAGGGAGTGGGTGGAGAGAGAGGGAGATGGAACGGCTCTGGGTCTGGCTGGAGTGAGACCAGCTGAGTCCCAGCCTGTGCTGCTCTTCTGGACCTGGGAGTGACTGCGATAGACATGGCGGCTGAGGGCCCACCGGACTGGCTGTGAGACCTAAGGCATGTGGCTGTCCTCTCTGAGCCTCAGTTTTCCCCAGCTGCTGAGATTCCCCATGCGCAGCTGTCCACGGTATCATGAGCTACTGCGGGAGGCTACTGAGGCCCCCGAGTACCAGGAGGCCCTGGAGGGCTGGACGGTGAGCCGGATGGTGGCCGGGGGCGGGGAGCTGGGGACAGGCCGAGGCTCACCCAGCCCCGTGCATCTAGGGCTTCCTGACTCGCCTGGAGAACTTCACGGGGCTGTCACTGGTTGGAGAGCCGCTGCGCAGGGCATGGAAGGTTCTGGATACGCTGATGTGCCAGGTGAGCTCTGCCCCTTCCCAACCAAGGGGTCAAGGATACCTGTTTCAAATCCCAGCTTGCTACTTGCTAGCTGTGTTCCCTTAGGCATTTATTTAACCCTGTGCCTCGGTTTCCCCATCTGCGCAGGGAGGATGGCAACACTGGAACACATCTCGAGGATGCTGTGAGCATTCAAATGGGTTAATCCACGCACTGTGCTTTCAATAGTGCCTGGCACAGAGTGAGGGCCTCACCAGGGTTTGAGGCTACACATTTGGCAATTCCTCCCCACAGTCCTGCAATCAGAAAACTCTTGGAAATAGATGCTTGGTGACAAAGGTCTTTCAACAACGCAATTTTTACTTCCTGGATGGCAGGAAGGGTACTCTTACTAGCCATCCTGCCACGGGAGTACAGAAAACAAAGGAAAACACACAAATTTATCCCTTAAACATTTGGGGTTGTCCTTACTGCTGTGTCTGATCTCCGTGAGCTGGAGCCAGACCTCACAATCTAAACGAAAACCCGACTGGCTAATAAACCTTTTCTAAACAGGTACACAGATATTTTGGTTAGAGTATAAGGAAACAGAACGTACTACGTGCCTGTAAGCATGGCATGTCTAACAGCTACATAGGATAGGGCTTAACAAAGCTATTAGCATGCTTATTCTTTAACAAGAAAGGAAACTTTAAAAAGGAACTTTACTTCCCACAAAACCTAAAACCTGGGCAGCGGGAGCTGACCTGCAGTGATGCAATGCTCCCTCCCTCCCTTCTTCCTTCCTTTTTTTCCCTTTCTTTCTTGAGACAGGGTCTCACTCTCTCACCCAGGGTAAAATGCAGTGGCACTATCGTAGCTCACTGCAGCCTCCATCTCTCTGGCTAAAGGAATGCTCCTGCCTCAGGTGCACACCACCATGCCTGGCTAATTAAAAAACAACACTACTTTTTTTTTTAGATGAAGTCTCACTCTTGTTGCCCAGGCTAAAGTGCAATGGCACAGTCTCGGCTCACAGCAATCTCGCTTCCCAGGTTTAAGCGATTCTCCTGCCTCAGCCTCCTGAGTAGCTGGGATTACAGGCATGTGCCACCATGCCCAACTAATTTTGTATTTTTAATAGAGACGGAGCTTATCCACATTGGTCAGGCTGGTCTTTAACTGCTGACCTCAGGTGATCTACGCACCTCAAGTCTCTCAAAGTGTTGGGATTACAGGTGTGAGCCACCGCATCCAGCCAAAATTTTTTGTGTGTGTGCAGAGATGAGGTCTCCCTACGTTGCCCAGAACTCCTAGGCTCAAACAATCCTCCCACCTCAGCTTCCCCAAGTGCTGGGAGTAAAGGCGTGAGCCGCCACACCCAGCTAGTACTCTTGCTGGTCTGCTCGCTCCAGCTCATAGGAATGTTCCGAATTGCAGGGTGAAAGCAGCGATGTGTGTGACTAATGGGGCTGCCCCAGCCCTTGCTGTGTGTGTTCCCCGCTGTGTGGTATCAGCACCATCAGACCTTTCTAAAGTCCAGAATGTCTGAGTTGTGAAACCCCTCTGGCTCCATGAGTTTCAGATAAAGCCTTCTGGGCTGTGTAATGACAATGTCTATTATCAATAATCACGGTTGGCTGGGCACGGTGGCTCACACCTGTAATCCCAGCACTTTGGGAGGCCAAGGCAGAAAGATTACCTGAGGTCAGGAGTTCGAGACCAGTCTGATCAACATGGTAAAACGGTCTCTACTAAAAATACAAAAATTAGCTGGACATGGTAGCAGGCACCTGTAATCCCAGCTACTCAGGAGGCAAAGGTTGTGGTGAGCCAAGATCGCACCAATTCACTCCAGCCTGGGTGATGGAGCAAGGTTCCAATTTAAAAAATAAAAATAATCACTGCTGTTCAAATGATTTCCCAGCCAGATTCAGCCCATGGGGGACTCAGAAGAGCAGGGGGCAGCACAGGCCTGGGGGACCAGAGGCGAATTCGAGGGCTCAGGATGGTCCATCTCTGTCCTCCCCCTTGCCTCCCCACAGCAAGCCCATGGTCTTCCCCTACCAGCCTGGGCCTCCGCAGATGTCCTGCGGACTCTTGCCCAGATCTCAGCTTTGGATATTGGCGCCCACGTGGGCCCACCTCGGGCAGCAGAAAAGGCCCAGCTGACAGGAGGTAAGGTGTGCGGCTGGGAGGCTGGGGTGCCTTCCTCTGGGAATTCCAAGCTCTTTTTCCCCACCCTCAGGAATCCTGTTGAATGCTATCCTTGCAAACTTCTCCCGGGTCCAGCGACTGGGGCTGCCCCTCAAGATGGTCATGTACTCAGCTGTGAGTCCTTGGGAAGCAGTGCCATGTAGCACTGAGGCATAGGGAGGAGGATGACAGTAATTTGGGTGAGGAAGTCTGTGCTCCCAACGGACCTCAGCCCACTGCCTTGGGTAACCAGTATCTCCAAACCCTACTCTTGGACTATATCATTAGAAGTACAGAGTCTGGAGAGAGGGAGGTGATGTTGTGGAGTGCCCCTCTGGAAGGACAGGCTGCTTAGTCCAATCATATTGTGCGTCTATTTGAGTTATCTTTATTAAATGACCGCCTGTAACTGATGGCACCGCCTTCAGGATGAGGGAGGAGCAGGTTTGGGGAGTTGGTTCTAAGAAGCCTGGGGACATCTGGATGCACAAGCCTAGTGTTCAGGGGAAAGGAGACCTCCAGATAAGTGCCATCTCAGCCCTTGGGTCCATCTGCAGCATGACAGCACCCTGCTGGCCCTCCAGGGGGCCCTGGGTCTCTATGATGGACACACCCCTCCGTATGCTGCCTGCCTTGGCTTTGAGTTCCGGAGGCGCCTGGGGGATCCTGACGAAGATGGAGGGTGAGGACCGGGTGGTTCCAGGGAGATGGGTGGGAAAGAACCCTCAAAGCAAGGGGTAAAATGCAAGGCAGAGGGCATGGCCGGCTGGGAATTGTGTGGGATGGTTCTGGGATGAAGACAGGAGGGAATCAGGAGCCCTTTCTCTGTTTTAAGGTCAATTAACAGGGAAAGGGAGGAGGTGCCACTGTGTCCTCTCTCTCCAGGAATGTCACCGTCTCTCTCTTCTACCGCAACAACTCTGCCCACCTGCCCCTGCCTCTCAGCCTCCCTGGATGTCCGGTCCCCTGTCCACTAGGCCGCTTCCACCAGCTGACCGCTCCGGCCCGGCCTCCAGCCCATGGGGTCTCCTGCCATGGCCCCTATGAGGCTGCCATCCCCCCAGGTAACAGTGCTCTGTGCTGGGGTGGGAGTGGAGGGTCCCAAGTCCTGGAACTCACACCCATGCTCTCCCTGCAGCCCCAGTGGTGCCCGTGCTGGCAGGAGCTGTGGCTGTGCTGGTGGTGCTCAGCCTGGGGCTGGGCCTGCTGGCCTGGAGACCAGGATGCCTGCGGGCCTTTGGGGGGCCTGTGTGAGTCAGAAAGCAGGACTTCCCTATCCCCAGCTGACACTGGACCCCAACGTGTGCTCACTCACTGCTCTGACTTCTGTGACTTACTGTGCGCCTGTGTGCATGGGGACCAAGGGCTGGGTGGGTTCTCTGGCCTGAAAACCATGAGTTCACATCATGTGCATGAAGTCTCTGCACTTAGTGCATGCACAGGTGGTTTGTCTGTGGCACACATTCAAGCACAAATGTGCACATATCTAAGTGGGAATATGTACAGGCAGGTATGCCTGCATGGCACTTGTTTTGGTAGAAACAGGGTTTGTGGCCCAGGCTGGAATACAGCGGCATGAGCATAGCTCACTGCAGCTTTGAGCTGGTCTCAAGTGATCCTGTTTCAGCCTCTATAGGTATACATCATGCCCGGCTAAATTTGTTTTCTCCGTATTTTGGTCAGGCTGGTCTCAAATTCCTGGCTCAGGCAAGCCCCCTCCTCCCAAAGCACTCGATTACAGGTGTGAGCCTCAGCGTTCAGCTGGCTTGTTTATGCATGTTTCCATACAAGCGTGGGTGCAGGTGGGTATCTGAGGACATGGTGGGCCCTGTATGCACTTCCATGCAGCTCATGTGGCAAGAGCTTGCTCAGTGAGCCTCAACGTGGGCCACATGCTCTGCAGAGATTGGGCTCACAGGAGTTTGACCCTCAAGTCTGGTTGGTGACCCTGACTAGCTCTCAATGCAACCATGAACCCGGGTGGTGTGAAGGGGACCTGGCAGCAGAGAGCTCGGAAAGGTGCACGATTCTAAGTCTGGTTTCACAGCTGGCGCCAATTTTAAGGCTGTGTGACTCTGGGCAAGTGACAAGCCTCTCAGTGTCTCATTTGGCAGAACCACGACTCTAACCCTACGGACTCTGCAACTCCCAAAATTAACTTCCTGGAGGCCAGCAAAGAGCAGGGAAAACCAGTGACACTCTGGGCTGTGAGCCATGACTTGTGCTGCAAGTGATGTGGAGGCATAGGCCAGTACTGTATCCATGACCATATGAGGCCATTTAAATTTAGGTCAAATAAAATAGCTCTCAGGTCCCAACTGTCGCACAGGCCACACATTCACCACTGCATTTATCAGATGCTGATGAGTTACCCCACACCCACTCATGCAGCAGCAGCCACTGCGGACCACCTGCACCGTGGCTGTTTAAGCCCCTGACCCCAGGAGGGGAGGCTGTCCTCTAGTGGGGCCTGGGGCAGTGCCAGCCCCTCCCAGGCCTTGCCCCACACCCACGGTTATGTGGCACTAACCAGGGCACTTGTGTGGGGCCCAGGTGCAGTGGACACTCAGGAACAGCCACTTGGTCCCTATCAGATGGGGCAGTAGGAGGTTCAAAGCCACTCGCAGCAACCAGGACCTAAACAAGGCACAGGGTCCAGAAAGGCTGGGGGTGGAAGCTGCGACTACCTCTTCACCACACCAGGGCCACCTGCATACTCCCCTGGCCCATTTCTTCCCAGGGTCCTGAAGGCAGCCTGTCACACACTCACCCCTAGGGGGCCCCCAGATCTCCCTCACTGCCCTGCCCGGCATTCCCTAGAGGCACTGGGTGGTCACAGGGCCCCCCAAGTAGATGCCAGGGACTATGACCCCAGAAACCCTAAGGAATGAAGGTCCGTCATGCTTTCTGGCCCTGGGAGGAAGCCTGGCTGCTTCCTTGCAGGTTCATGAAAACCCAAAGTGCCAGGAAGGGCTACCTGTGGTTGTAGGCAGCTCCCACCTGGTGGCAAGTGCCACCCCTTTCCCAGCAGCCTGCTGAAAGGGCCTGTATGCATCCCCCTTGCCCCGCCATAGACCCAGCGCACCACCCGAGCCCAGTGTTAAGCACTACAGCTGGGAATGGTATATGTCTGTTGTTTAATGGGCCTGTGTGCCCAAGACCCCAGCTATGAAGCCAGAACTGCCAGGGCTTGGTGCGCCCTCACAGAACTGTCACCTGTGATCCTGGCCCCAACACACCCTAAATTCAGACTCAGAACTCAGACCAGGCAAGCCACACAGTGAAACCAGACCTATCAGAAGGGACCGGCTGCCCATAGCCAAAGCATGTTTGCCTGTAATCCCAGCACTATGAGAGGCTGAGGGGGGTGAATCACCTGAGGTCAGAAGTTTAAGACCAGCCTAGACAACATTGGTGAAACCTTGTCTCCACTAAAAATAGAAAATTAACCGGGTGTGGTATCGGGTGCCTGTAATCCCAGGTACTCCGGAGGCTGAGACAGGAGAATCACTTAAACCGAGGAGGTGGAGACTGCAGTGAGCTGAGGTCACATCACTGCACTTGGGCCTGGGCAACAAACAAAACGAACCTTACGAAAACTGAGGAAAAGCTTGAAGATGCTTTCATCATGGGCGTGGGATCTCCCTGCTTGGCCTGGAGTGCTTTGGGGACCCATATGACAGAGGTAGGCACCCATTGTGCCCACCTACCCTGCTGCCTGGGCAGAAATGTAACATGGCACGTGATCACTCCCCCCAGGGACTCATGGTGTCTACTCACAAGGCCTGCTCCCCTCATGATGTTTGGCCAGTGACACCCACAGGGGAGGGTTTGGGCAGACACCCTTTGCTTCTGGGGCCCTTGAACATGGTGTCAGGCTGTGGCTTGCTCAAGGGACACTGAAGGGCTACACACGGAGGGTAGTGGCCAAGGCTTTTTGCCTCCCCTACCATGTCCCGTGCTTCCTGATTGCAGCTCACACCAGGAGCAGCTCCCCCAGAACCCAGCCTCCCTGCTTTACCCCTGGAGCACCAGGCCGGGTGGTGTCTGTCCTCCAGAGCCAGGCCCAGGGCTGGCTGTGGTGCATGGGCAGCTACTTCCCACAGGTCTGGTCAGAATAGGCGGGGAGTGGTGGCTCCATCCCCAGCTTATCCACCTTCTCCTGGGCTCTCGGCTCAGCAGCCAGGTCCTGGTGCACTGGGTTGGGTCCTAGCGTGAGCTTGGTGGCCTGGCTGGCCCTGGCACAATAGAGATGAGCTTGCTGTTGGTGATGGTCTGGATCTCCAGGACAGCCTCCAGCACCATCATACCCTTGACCAGCAGGCACTGGTGCAGGCCCTGGGTAACAGGCATGTCCTTGGGCATCACTGGCTCAGGAGCAGAGGACAAGGAGGGGAGAGGAAGCTGGATGCCCCTGTCCATGGTGGGTTGGGGCTGGAATGGCAGCTCAGTGGCCTCAAAGTGCAGGGAGGTCTCCCAGTTGTCACCAGGCTATCAGAAGCCAGGTAGGCACTGCTGTGCCACTATTGCCTTCAGGGCCTTGCAGTGGTAGCTGAAGATGACACCATTGTCAGGTTGGATCAGTTCACCCAGCAGCAGGAGGAGCCCTCAAGAGCTGAGGCAGAAGACAGGGCTCCCAGCTGTATGCTGGCAGGACCCAGGAGAGCTGGCTGCAGTTCTGCCCCAAGTGCCGAGAGAGCCAGGAGCTCAGTGTCCTGCAGCACGAGCAGAACCAGCCCCAGCCCAGGTGGGTGGACGCCAGCACATTCCTAGTCATGGCTGCAGCCACGCCTAGGCAGGAAGCAGCAGAGAGCCTGGAGGGACGCTGTCAGGTGAAGGACACAGAAAAGGCACTGAGGGGAGGGGCACCGTGTCCTCTGGGGCAGTCGGAGCCCAGTGCTGGACATCATGGGGCCCCAAGTGCAGCCCTTTCAAGAACCCTGACATGGGACATCTCTCTGCAACCCAGCCCCAAACCCCATCCCAACCTGCCCACAACAGGGTTACTACAAAAGGTTAATGAGCCCAGTGCTTAGGGCAGAACATGGCTCAGCACTTGCTGGGCACCTGTCTATGTCTGCCTTCTCCATCACCACGAATAACAGGCAGCCCCCTCCGTTCTTACCAAGTGATGGTCAGGACCTTCAGCACCTGGAGGCAGGAAGGCAGAGAGAAGGGAGGTCAGTGGGGTACAGGGCAACCAAGATACCCCCTCATCCCTCCCTAGAGCCAGAGCCTCTCAGACCCCTGGGTGTCAAAGGTCCCAGGGGGCACCATGTCCTCAGTGGCAATCGGAGCCCAGTGCTAGACATCATGGAGGCCCTGGTGCCCTCAGCCCCCTCCTGATGCAGGTTCCAGGGCTACCTGCCGTCCTGAGGGGGACATAGCAGAAGAGTGCGGAGAGATCAAGCAACAAAGTGAATGATACTTGGTCCTGGGGGTGCCAGGCCACCCCCGATCCCGCTCAGCCTGGGTGTGGCTCCTTGTATGATCTAAGCCCACTGACCTCACCACCCCCCAGCGGTGTTTCTCTGGAACATGGGACTAGAGATGCCTGTAGACAGGCGTATCTGTGGGGTTCAGTGAGAGCATGAGGTCAAACCCTTCTGCTTGGGCCTTCTGTGCCCTAACGGGACACCCCTCCATTGCCTCTGCCTGCATCTCAGGTCTGCTGCCCTGACCCAGCTCTTCCAAGCTGCTCTGACTTCACCAGAACCTTCTGTGACATGGGGAAGAGGCAGTTGCCTCTCACTGGGACCCTGGCAGGATCTGTTCAGTTGATTCTCTGCAAACAGCAACACTGTGGGTGCTCCTTCAGTGCCAGCTGCTGTTTAACAGCGACAGAAACACTAAAAGCTCCATTTTACATAGAAATGTGCTGTCCAAAGAGGGGACCTTGTTTAAACTAACCAAGAAGAATTAAAAACCCAGCTCCCAGTCACAAACTGGCCACACGCCAGGTCCAAGAGCCACCTGTGGCCAGTGGCAGCCAGACTAGACAAGGCGCAGAACATTTCCATCTGGACGGTCCTATGGAGAGCGCTGGTCTAGAATCCAGAGGCTACACGTCCCGTCTTTCCTATCCCGTGCCAGATCGCTCCTCTCACCTCTCTCACATCCCTACCCAACTGGCACCCACCCCACTCCTTATGTCCCCTCGAAGCCAGCCATGATAAATGCTCAGCCCCATTCACTATCCCACAGAGGATTAAGAGCACAGGACCCTCAGAAAGATACTCAGGAGAGCTGAAATCCCAGCCAACCCTCCTCAGCTTCCTTGACAAAAACAGGTGAAAACTCTAAGAACCCAAAGAACACACTTCAGTTCTCTTTTACTGTGGCCACTGTTCTCCCAGCTCCTGAAATCTAAGAAACAAATGAAAATCCTCCCAGAGCTGAGAACATGTTTTGTTTTGTTTTGTTTTTTGAGACAGAGTTTCACTGCTGTTACCTAGACTGGAGTGCAATGGCACAATCTCGGCTCACGGCAACCTCCGCCTTCTGTGTTCAAGCAATTCTTCTGCCTCAGCCTCCCGAGTAGCTGGGACTGCAGGCGCGCACCACCATGCCCAGCTAATTTTTGTATTTTTAGTAGAGGCGGGGTTTCACCTTGTTGACCAGATGGTCTCGATCTCTTGACCTCGTGATCCACCCGCCTCGGCCTCCCAAAGTGCTGGGACTACAGGTGTGAGCCACCGCGCCCGGCCAAACACTTCTTTTCCAGTAAAAGACACCACACCCCAACACTTTTCTAATGACTTTGCTCTCTGAAACAATTCTGATAACTCCTGTTAATTTTTATTGTGAAAATAAGGATTCCTTGAATTGTATCAGTTTATATATAAACACTGGGGCTAAGCTTTGCTTAACGCATCGCATTCAGCCTACAAAACCCATGATGCGGATGTGACAGGATCACCTGAGTCACTGTTTGCCACTGCTGAGTTTTGACATGTTTCTGATTAGTCCTTTCCCCTGAAACAAATGCCTTTTTCCTTCAGTCCATGCATTCCTCCTCTTATTGAAGCCCTACCTTTGGAAGACAGAAAGCACTACTGCCCTGGGCCATCTGCTGGGTGCCTGTTCCACAGACAGAGCAGTGAGGCGCAGGAGCGGTGGCCTGGAGAATGTGTCCAAGCCTGTGAATAGGAGCTGGGATTTGGATCCAGGCCTGCCTGCCTGCCTCGTTTTCCACAGCTATGAGAATTTTTTTTTTTTGAGATGGAATTTCATTCTTGTTGCCCAAGCTGGAGTGCAATGTCACGATCTCAGCTCACTGCAACCTCCACCTCCCGGATTCAAGAGATTCTCCTGCCTCAGCTTCCTGAGTAGCTGGAATTAGAGTTATGTACCCACCATGTCCAGCTAATTTTTGTATTTTTCATAGAGATGAGTTTTCACAATGTTGGCCAGGCTGGTCTTAACTCCTGACCTCAGGTGATCCACCCACCTCGGCCTCCCAAAGTGCTAGGATTACAGGTGTGAGCCACCACGCCCAGCCTGACATGGCTTTTGTATGTAAACCCTGAGTACAATCGTTGGCACACAAATCAGTCCCCAGAGGTACGGTGAGATATTTCAAACCTAGACAGTGAGACATTTCAAACCAGGTGAATCAAGGAGCAGGAGTAAGGTTCTTACCTTGCTGGGCAGTGGATGGTCCTCAGCTGGAAGCTACACCTGTAACAGAAAGACAGTGAGGCTGGGGAAGGAAACAGTCTGCAGGTCCATGAGCCATTAAAACTGGGGCCCCTCAGACCCCCAGGTGTCAAAGGTCCTGGGGTGCACTGTGTCCTCAGGGGTGATCAGAGCCCAGTGCTGGACATCATGGGAGCCCCAGCCCCTCTACAACCAGGCCTGAGGTGACTTACCTTCAGGGACAGAGGCCAAGCTTAAAGTGTAGGAAACGCAAAACCCATCCAGAGGTAAGAAGGACCAGTTTTGCTCATGGAGACACAAAGATGCCCCAACCTCCCATGTCACAAGCCCTCAGGGTACTGTCCTCATGGGATGGGTAGGACCCCAAATGCACTACATAAAGATGTCCCCGGTATCCACCCCCTACCCTTTGCAGATTTCTGTAGCACTGGCTATACCTGCTGGTAACCCATAAACAACGAAAGCTGCCAAGACACAAATCCCCTGGATGAATTTACTGAGAGAAGGGAGGAGGAAGGTGTAAAGTATATTGCCGAGTTAAAATGAGGAAACTGAGGCCAGTATAAGAAAAATGAAAAGCCAATTTATTCAGCTCCCAGGCGAGGTTCTATGGTCCGGGAAGGGGCCAGAGAAGTCGCGTCTGACTTCTCAGGCATAGGGTTTTATAGGGAGTGGAGGTAATTGATTGGTTACTAGGGAAACAAAGCAAAGACAACTTCATTGGTTATAGGGAGACAGAGCGCAGACGGGGTGAGGTGCTATTGATAGACAGGTGGGACTACTGGTAAGTGGGCTGGCTGGGGACGTACGGGGCAGGCTGCTACTGGGCAAGTTTTGGCGAGGTCTTTTCGGTGGCGGGCTGGGATTGAGTGCATAGTTTTGTGCCATGTGTAGATCTGGGTGCGGTATGCAGAGGTGGGTGTGCAGAACCCACGTGGAGAGGCCAGATGCCGAGTAATGCTCTCAGAATGATGACATAGTTATCAGGCGTGGAGAGGGATGGGTGTGTCCATTTAGCTCCAAATGTTGGGAGGTACTCTCCTAGCTGAGTTAGAAGGGGCCTGTTTTGCAGGAGAAAAGGGAGTCCATACATTAACTCAAATGGGCTGAGGAAGGAGGATGCTTTTGGGCTGGCTCTGATGCAGGCTAGGAGTATGAGCAGAAGGGAGGGCCGGGGTTGCTGGACTTCAAGAGTGAGTTTGGTTAACTGAGTTTCAAGGATCCCATTTGGCCTTTCAACTTTTCCTAATGACTGGGGTCGGTGTGGGATATGGAGGCGCCACTGGATGCCGAGGGACTGAGACTTGTTGGGCGATTTGGGAGGTGAAGCTAGGGCCGTTGTCTGACTGGAGCGCAGAAGACCAAATCTAGGGATGATTACTGTTAAAAGGATTGGGGAGACTTCTGCAGCTTTTTCTGAGGTGGGAAATGCTTCTACCCACCCAGAGGTGTCTGTAAGAGTAAGAAGAAACTTCATTTTCTCGACAGGAGGCATGTGGGTAAAGTCTATTTGTTGGCTTCCCCTGGGAGTGTTCCTCTGTGCTGATGTGTAGTGAAAGGAGGACAGCAGAGGGCCCCCTGAGAGGAAGTGACAGAGCATATATGACAGTTTCAGGTTATATCCTTGAGTGAGGTAAATATGGGGGGGAAGAGAAGTAAGGGTGAAGGAGGAGGTACGGGGGCATGCACAGATATGGAAGGATGGGTAAAGAGATGTTAGAATTTCTGTGGCTCACTCTTGAGGGAGGATGAGTTTTTGATCTTTGACTATCCAGTTTCCCTGGAAAGAGGTTCCTTGTAGCAGTGAAGGCTTTTCAGGGGGAGAATACGGGGGTTGGACTGTAGGGGTAATGACAAGAGGGGCAGGGGTAGGAGAAAGGGAGGCTTTTTTTGCTGCCTGGTCGGCCTTTCTGTTCCCTCTTGAATTTTCATCTGATCCTGTTTGATGTCCTCAACAATGTGTAACTCCTGCTTTAACTGGGAGGTGTGCAGCCTGAAGGAGTTGGTAAATAAGGGGGCCATTAGTGATGGGGGTCCCTTTGGCAGTAAGAAGCCCTCTTTCTTGCCAGATGACAGCACAGATATTAAGAATGTGATAGGCATATTTGGTGACGCGTTTGCCTTTGGAAAGGGTTAGGGCCCTGGTGAGAACCATGAGTTATGCCTTTTGGGAGGAGGTTCCAGAGGGTAAGCGTTTAGCTTCAATTACTTGGTCAAGAGTGACAAGTGCATACCTAGCAATTCTATGGGAGCCGACTAACTTGGAAGAGCAGCCATCTATAAATAACTGGTCATCAGAATTAGGGAGAGGTTCATGGGAGATATTAGGGAAAAGAGGCTGTAGGTGATCAAGGATTTTGGTACAGGAATGGGTGGGAGGAGAAGATGATACTGGGAGCAGAGATGCAGGTTTGAGGGGAGCACTTCTGGAGAGGTGGAACTCAGGGTTTTCAAGAAAGGGGAAGGGGAAAGGGTACTCAGTGCTTGGGAGGAGAGGAGATCCTGTAGATTATGTGGGCTGTGAACGGGTGTCTTGATTGAATGTTAGTTTTTTGCTTTCTGAGGCTAGGGTGGCAGCTGCTGCTAGAGCTGAGGCAGATCAGCCACCCTGGGGCAGTGCTGTCTAGTTTAGAGAGGTAAGCTCTGGGAGTGAAGGAGGGAGCACTTCCTTTTTGTTAGCCAAGGATGCCAAGGCTATTCCATGGTTTTCAGCTATGTAGAGAGTGAACAGCTGAGAGATGTCAGGCAAAGATAGAGCAGGAGCAGTGACAAGGGTGATTTCAGTTTGTGGAAGCTTGGGATTACATTGTGTGAAGGGTGTAGGGGCTCATTTAGAGGGCCTTTGGCTGCTTCACAGAGAGGGTGAGCTGGGAGGGCAAAATTGGGAATCCATATTCTGAAGAAACCTGCTAGTCCTAAAAAAGAAAGGATTTCATTCTTAGGGGAGGGTGGAGGTAGGCTCTCTGTTAATGCTGCCCGTGCCGGGGTCATGGCTCTGGCCCCAGGGAAAAGTTGGACCCCTAAGTAAATCATGGTTGGGGTGGAGAGTTGTGTCTCAGAGCAGGAGACAACTCTACATCCTTTCCTAGCAAGGAAGTTTAGGAGGGTAATGGTGACTCCTCTAGGGAGGGTCTACAGAGGAGGAGATCATCTACATACTGAAGGAGCTGGCTAGGGGAAAGGTTTAGGGAGGTGAGGTCCCGAGCTAGAGCTTGTCCAAAGAAGTGGGGACTATCTCTAAAGACGAGAGGGAGGACTGTCCAAGTAAGTTGTGACTAGAGGGTTCAGGGTCAGTACTGGTGAGAGCAAAAAGATTCTGGGAGTCAGGATTTCCGGAAACAGTGAAAAAGGCATCTTTTAGATTGATGGCAGTGTAGTGGGTTGTGTTGCAAGACGTAAGGGAAAGGAGTGTATAAGGGCTGGGAACTACTGGATGGATGGGAAAGACTACCTGATTGACAGCCTGGAGATCTTGGACTAGTCTATAACAACCGTCTGCTTTTTTGAAAGGAAGGATGGGGGTACTATATGGAGAACGGGTTGGTCTAAGAAGACCATGCATGAGGAGTTTGTTTACAATGGGCTGTAAGCCTTGATGAGTTAGTGAGACAGAATACTGGGGATGTTAGGAAATTTGGAGGGCTCTTTTAGCTGGATTTTGATGGGATCATGGTGAGCTGCTAGGGAAGGGGTGGGAATATCCCAAACTGTTAGATTAACAAGAGAAATGGGGAGTGGATACCGGGGAGAGGGGTCAAGAGCTAGCGCAGTAGTGGAGAGGAGGAATCTGGTTGTGGGGAACAGGTGATGGAAGCTGTGAATTTGGTTAGAAGGTCCCTGCCTAGGATGGGACAATGTAGGACAACAAGGCATGATTAGGAATGAGGGTGAGAAAATGGTATCAAATAGGGAACAAGAGATCTGGTGGCGCGTGGGCGCGAGATGAGTCAGTCAACCCCCACAACTGAGACCCGAGAGGGATGAATTGGTCCTGAGAATTCAGGCAAAGCAGAGTAGGAGGCCCCAGTACCGCTTAAGAGAGAGACTGGCTTACCTGATACTAGTAAAGGTACCCAGGGCTCCAATGCAGTTGATAGCAGATGGTGCCAGGGCCCCGGGCCTCGTTAGTCTTCAGCAGCTAGGCCAAGGAGGTGTGGGAGTACAAGCAAGTCTTCACTTTCCGTCTTCCTGAAGGGTGGTAGCTTTGGGAGGCAGGCTATTCTGTTGAGAGAACAGTCAGACTTTCAGTGGCCTGTCTGCTGGCAGACCAAGCAAGGGCTTTTCGGCACTTGTGGGTTAAGACATGCTCATGCCCCGGGGCTTTCATTGCTGCACTTAAAACAAGGCCAAGGAGGGTTACTGCTCTGGAGTCTTTTGTGCCCTGGGGTACTATGGTTAGGTTGATGGATAGCTGCTGCAAGAAGCTGGTATTTTGCATGCTTTCTTCGGGCTTTACTGAATCTATTTTGCTCATCCTTTTTAGGGAACCAGCCCATCACACTCACAGGTACCCTGAGTTCAGGGGCGACAAAGGAATGAGAAAAAGACAGATCAAGAGAGAAAGTGGGACCAGGGGGCCATCACTCATTACTGGAGGAGACAATGAAGGCCCCAAGCTTTGATTATAATCAGTTTGATCTACAGGGTAAGGGTGGAGTGATGGTGGAGTGAATCAGTGCGCTGGAACTGGTGTGTCATTCTAACGACTGATAACGGTGGCAGTTTCAGGAGTTTCACAAAACAAGAACATGTGGTTATCTTTTAGCTTATTATCTATGTACATGGACCTTACAAGGAGCCTACAAATCTGTCTATATCACAGTGCTATGAAGGGGTTTTACATCCTTGAGCACAACGTTCATGGTAACAGAGCCTAGGTTACCCTGCACCGGAACATGAGGCGTGAAGAGGCCTTCTGCAGTTTCTTTCCTTGTTTATGCATTACTCAGAACCAATTTATACAGTCACTCTCTAAGTCCTTTCTCCTTTGCTGCTTTTCCTGACAATCCTTGTTATTGAAGACTTTGAAAGCCAGGTTAAGGAGGTCTTCCTGTGGGATTTGAGGATCATCCTCAACCTTTTGTGTCAGATGTCAGGGGCAGATTGGGAGATCAAATGGGTATTAAGAATAATTCCTTCTGGGGAGGCAGGGTCGACACAGGCATATTTTTTTGGAGAGCCTCTGTAAGGTGGGAAAGGAATTGGGCAGGGTTTTCATCTGCTTTTTGGGAAATTTCTTTGAGGTTTTCAAACTTTACAGCCTTATGGGCAGCTTTGTTAAGGCCTGCAATGAGGCAAGTGATCACATAGTTAGAGATGCCCAGCCAGGAAGGGTCTGTGGATTGGTACTCCCAGGAAGGCTCTTGGGTGGTGGTGGGAGGGTGATAGCAGCGACTCCTAAGGGCTTAGCAGGATCTAGGATCTTGCCAATGAAGATCTTCGACTTCTAAGGGCTTAGTAGGATCTAGGATCTTGCCAATGAAGATCTTCAGCATGTGCCTGGGCTGTAGCCACACTCCTTCCTTCTATTCCGGAAGGAGGACAGAAGAGAGGATAATATAGAGATCACGCCCAGTTCATAAGACTGGGTGAGTTATTTAAATTATCTGATGTAAGTATCAGGATTGGAGGACCCCAGACGTTTTTCAATCTGGGAGAGCTCTGAGAGGGAGAAGCAGACACGGACACGGACAATCCCTTTGGCCCCTGCTATCTCTGGGAGGGGAAGCAAGGGAGATGGTTGCTGGGCATGTTGGGCTCCAGAGCGGGTAAGGGGTGGAGACGGGGAGGACTCAAGACTCAGAAGCAGGGTGGTTGGGGGAGAGGGGAAGGGTTAGAGCCAGAGCAGGAGCAGAACATCATGGTCCTCCATCATGATGATGTCGAGCAGAAAGAAAATCGGCAGGGTTAAAGAGGAGTCATCCTGTGACTTTTATGCTGGCAGTTAAATGAAAAACAGGAATTTACAAGAATGTGTAACTAAGGTTTGTTCACGTTTCCCATGACTTCCCCTGTTCTGCCCAGATGGGTGGAATTAGGGTTTGCTTAACGTAGCATGTCTGGCAACCTTGCTGTGGCGCCTAGATAAGTTTAGGAATGCAGCTGCAGAGCATTCAGGGTAAGGGTCGGCTGCATCGCGGGGTTTCCTGGGGCAGCTTGTCCAGGAAACCGATGTTCAAGACCTTAAAGGACCTAAGCAAAAAACTAATGTCAACAAAACTCTCGCACGTGGCACGGTAAGAATGACTCCTACAAGTAAGCAAAGGCCGCGTGTGCTTTCTTCTATGTCCACTCCTACGTGATTCTCAAAAAAAAAAACCCGACTGCCACTTCCTTGCTAACTCGATACCCCGTCTTTGTCCCTACGGAACCCACCCGAACACCGCCTCCCCTAGTCTTTGTTCTAGGTTGCACAAAAATGCCAGCCGTCCAGAACTTTAAAAACAAGGGCCAACTCCTCAGGAAGCATCTGTAGGTTGCACGGGGGTGGAAAACCTCGGAAATAACTGAATGTCACCTCTCCCCGCGCCCACCGCTCTCCCCTAATCAAACGGACAAGATGGCGGAGGCCCGCGGCGTGCGGGCAGCGAAAGGGGCTAGACCCGCCGCGGGACAGACGGAGGAGAGTCCTCCCCGGCATCCCTGCTCGCTCCAGCTGCAGGAATCACTGGCTCCCAAGCGCCCCTAATAGCCACCACCATCCCCGCAGGCAACTCCTAGACTCGCCCCGGAGCGCGCTCTGTGGGTCCTTGCAAAGGCCTTGACGCTGCCCACGCAACTATATGACTACTACCGTTGCAGTCTCGAGACCTTCAGGACAAGTGCGTCCTTCATCCCAACGCCCAGCCACACAGATCGAGACAAAGAAACTCACCACAGCATTTCTCTCCCCAAAGCGTGCTTGGGTCGCAGCACGCGCCGCTTTATAGTGCGCGCCGCTGTCAAGGTTGGTCCTCGGCGCCAGCCCGCGCTCCGCCCGAGGCGTCCAATACACGCGCCTGTGTGGGAAACTCCGCTTTAGTGCTTAGGATTATTACATGCTCCCGCTAATATCTTCCTGAAAAAGCGAAGAAGAGGCGTTGTCTCTGGGGCTGACAAAAAGGGAGAAGGATATGTTGGAAACGATTGTCTTGTCACCCGCGTCCGGCAACTCTGAAGACAGCACCTAAGATGGGCCGTGCAGAGAAAGGACCCCGAGGGCGGTGCTGCCCGAGAGAGAAACTGCTGTGACTGCGCGGCGGGGGCTTGAGCGGAGGCTGCAGAGGCGGGGCCCGGGCCGAAGGGCCGGCTTTCAAAGTAAGTCCCCGCCGCGGGGCGGGAGGCGACTCCAGTGCGGAGATTGACAGGGGGCGGTTCTGGGAAAGAGCCAAAGTGGCTCAGAATTAGAGGCGGAGCCTATAGGGCGAGAGGCCGGGCTAGAGCAGTAACGCAAAGACGGAAAGGAGGGTCCTTAGGTCTGGGGAAGTGGGGCCTGGGGTTCTGGACTCCTGGGTCTATGGGAGGATTGTCCGGGGCTCGTGCGCTTGGGTCTTAGGGAGGAGGGGCTGGGGCTCGCACACCTGGGTCCGAGGGAGGAGGGACGGGGAGTCTGGACTCCTGGGTCTGAGGGAGGAGGGACTGGGAACCTGGACTCCTGGGTCTGAGGGAGGAGGTGCTGGGTGCCTGGACTCCTGGATCTGAGGGAGGAGGGGTCTGGGGGCTTGGACTCCTGTGTCTGAGGGAGGAGGGGGGAGCCTGGACTCCTGGGTCTCTGAGAGGAGGGGCTGGGGTCACAATTCCCATGTTTGGGAGAAGAGGGGGTTGGGAGCTAGGACTACTGGGGTTGGGGGAGGCCTGTGGGGCATACCCCCAGTTGTGATGGTTTAAGGCCCGTGGGAGTGCATTCTTGATAGGGTTGGAGATCTTAGGAGAGTCTTTCCACTTATCTGATTATTTTGAAAATAAAAAAATGAAACTTCTCTACTCCAAACACACTTTCTAGGAGTTCCACTGTGAAAAATTTAGTGTGAACTTTATTATTATTATTACTACTTTGTATTTTTTCAGATGGAGTCTTGCTCTGTCACCCAGGCTGCAGTGCAGTGGCGCAACCTCAGGTCACTCCAACCTCCGCTTCCTGGGTTCAAGCGATTCTCCAGCCTCAGCCTCCCATGTAGCTGGGATTACAGATGCCCGCCACCGTGCCCAGCTAATTTTTGTATTTTTAGTAGAGATGGGGTTTCATCATGTTGGCCAGGCTGATCTTGAACTCCTGATCTCAGGTGATCCACCTGCCTCGGCCTCCCAAAGTGCTGGGATTACAGGCGTGAGCCACCATGCCTTAATTTGAACTAGCTTGAGAAAACCAGTTGTACTAGCTTGGGTGAACTAACTTGAACTAGCTAGAGGCTCCTTTATGGGATCCCCTGGGTGAGAAATGGTAGGGGTAGGAATGTCTTCAGGCATGGCTGGATTCAGAGGCCAAAGTGATAGTATCATATATTACTGTTTCTTGGCTACGTGGATTGGCTTCATTCTCAAGGCTTTATGTAGCCGCAAGTCAGAATCCAGTTAGAAAAGTAAATCATTCCAGGTTCTTCAGAAGGAAGTAAATACAGGGAATTGGTTCATGGGTGATGGAAGAGCTGAGAAGCTAATAGGAAATAGTGAAGCAAACCAGGGAGTTAGGAACTACAGGATGCTGCTACTCAGCCGGGAGGACAATGGGAGGAGGTGGTATTACTACAGTCCAGAAGCTGGAACCCTCTGGAAGGCATAGGCCCATGGTTGGATTGCTCAGTGGTGGCTAGAATCAGGGAATAGATACAACTACTACCGAAGACCCACCACATGCAGAGATAGAGAGGGCCATAAACACCCTGGCTTGTCCTCTCCTCCCAGAGCCAGTCTTCTGCCAGTGCCTCCCATTAGCCAAACACAGTGATAAGATGGTGAGCAAAGGAGGCTGGGAAATGTGGTCCTTGCAATGCAGAACAGGGCAGGGTGGGGAATGGATCTGAGAGCAGACAGAGAAAAAACTGGCAGAGCTGTTAGCAACTTGGCAGAATTGGTAATGATTACTGAATCCAGTAGAAAAAAGTTGTCAACAGTTTTTGCAAGAGTCCTGTGTGGCTTGGGGCACATGAGCACCCTGAGCCAATTATATGGCCAGTGCAGTACAGCTTGTTGACTGGCTTATAACTGGGGCTGAGAAGGGCAATGGGCAGGAGGTGAAAGGCATGGTGGGGAGGTAAGCTGCAAATGTCCACTTATTCTAAGCCACAGAGTGGCTACTCTCTAGGATGATGAGAGCCAGGGACTTGAGTGTCATTTCAATGTTCTTTCTCTTGTCTGTTTTTCTTCTTAGTTTTACTCGCTCCACGAGGCTGGGTCCAAGACTTAGGCAGCTTCAGGCTTATAATCCTCGAGGAGAGTGCTCTTTCCTGACAGCTTTCTAATAAAAAGCCCTGGGGCAGAGTCTGATTGGTTGGCTTTGGTCACGTGTCCATCTTTGGGCGAATTGCAGGGTCTGTGGCATGGGGTACTGTGATTGGCTCAGGCAGAATCACATGATTATCTCTGTGGCCCAGAGGGCAGAATATGTCAGGAGAATCCCTCAAGCACTGTTGTGTGAGTTGGGTGGAGGGTGTCACCAAGAGATGTCAGGCTGTTGTTCTGGGCAGACCAAATTCTCCATTCAAGGTCTCGGTTTTTGGCCCGGTGCCTTCTCCCTGACCTCTGCTTCTTGACTCTTCAATTAACAGAAAGAACTAAGGGGACTGGCTGGTCACAGTGGCTCACGCGTGTAGTCCCAGCACTTTGAGAGGCCAAGGAAGGAGGATTGCTTGAGCTCAAGAGTTTGAGACAACCCTGTCTAACATAGCGAGACGCCATCTCTACGAACAAAACAAAACAAAAACAGAAAAAAAACCACAGGGTCTGATATTTCCCCAAATCCCGAGAGTGCTGTTGCTGTTCTGTATATATGATGGTCCTTTCTCTTTCTTGTTGGGTGTTAGAGATGTGCAGTTTGCCAGAAACAAAGCAGATGAGGTCTTAGCTTATTTGGCTAAAACAGTTTTGCCCAATTGGAAAGTAGACGAAGTAGAAAAAAGGCTAAAAGGAGGACATGTAGTCCTCAGAAACAGCCGAAACTCTCTTCTGCTGGAAATATAAGTTGGATAAATATCCATCGTAAACTGGAGCTAAGCTTTTGGGCACGTTGGTGTTAGAGTGTTTGATTTGAAAGTTTTTCTCGTATACAAATCTGTGTGTGTTTTGGGGGGAGTGCTCCGAGGTGTGAACAAGAGGTGACATTAGGATGTCTGGGGAGGTTCTCGGCATGTTGAATGGGGCCACCAGGGGACCTTGGGTGATGACGAGGAAAGACTGCAGCAGAAGTAGGGTGACTTTGGAGATGACTGAGGTTACTGAGTTGTCTTGGGTAACTTTGAGGATGCTGTTGAAGGTGTCTGGGAGTGATAGTAAGGATATTAATGTGAGTTATTATGAGACTCCTTTTAGGAGTTCAAGTAAGGTGACTGGGGGTATCTGTCAGGGTGACTAGAAATGATTGAGGCTGGGTGCGGTGGTTCACACCTGTGATCCCAGAAATTTAGGAGGCCGAGATGGGCAGATGACCTGAGGTCAGGAGATTGAGACCAGCCTCACCAACATGGTGAAACCCCATCTCTACTAAAAATACAAAACTTAGCCAGGCATGGCAGCAGGTACCTGTAGTCCCAGCTGCTTGGGAGGCTGAGACAGAAGAATTGCTTGAGCCCAGGAGGCAGAGGTTGGAATTGAGCCAAGATTGTGCGACTGCACCCCAGCCTGGGCAACAGAGTGAGAGTCTGTCTCAAAAAAAAAAAAAAAAAGAAAAAGAAAGATATGATTGAGATGGTTCTGTGGGGTAACCTTGGGGATGGATTATGAGAGTGTCTGAGAATTGGGTTTGAGGTTAAGTAGGGGTGCTTTGGGACAACTCTAAGGGTGTAACTAGGGATAACTCTAGGGGTCCCTCGGGTTGACCTTGTGAGAGTGGAGTTACTTTGGGGTTTCTAGGAGGTGATTTTGGTTATGTGCCAGACTTTGGGGGTGTCTGTTGGGCTGCTTGTGGGTATCGACAGGGATGAGTTTGGAGGATGATCAAGGGGTGTCTGGGGCATCTGTCCTCCTCTCCCCAGTTCTTATCCATATAAGTGGGGGCTTCATGTAACTGGCAGTGGCCCTGTGCTGCGTCCTCCTCCCAGCCAGTGTTCCACCACCTGAACGTGGTCAACTTTGTCTTTAGTTTCCTCTGCATTGGCATTGGTTAAGTGCTGGCTCGGGGATGGCAGGGCAGTTGCAGGGGGCTCCCTGACCCCAGCACCCCTCTCTGGCTTTTGGGAGGTGTATCTAGACTTTTGTGCTACTCCCCTCAGAGCCTCTGTCTTAGCATGTCTCTGGTGAGCTCGGACTCAGTTCTAGTCTCTCTCTCAGTCTGGGTGTGTGGGGTGTTTCTCTCTCCCCCACTCTGTTTCCCTTTCTTTTTGTCCCTTCTCTCCAGGTATCTTTCTATCTGCTGTGAGGGTGTGTGTGTGTGTGTGTGTGTGTGTGTGTGTGCCTGTCACGGAGGGTAGGAGAGGATGTCTCAGTCCCTCTTCTCTTGCTGGGGGTCACAGAGCTCACTGTCCAGCCTTCTATCCATCTCTGGCCCCACCCCAGTGCAGGGCTTCTGATTCTCTTCAGCCTGACACTCTTTCCAGTTAACTGCAAGGCGGTGCACCTGAGTCCGGTGGTGTCCTGCCTGGTGACCACCAGTACCTGTGCTGGGATGCCAGCAACCTGATGCTGCCTGCCGGTGAGGGCAAGGCCTCGGAGGTGGATGGGGCCTCGGGGAAGCGGGTGGGGTGGGACTCAGAGTCCAGCGGCCCTCCTAGCCTGCTCCCCCAGGAGCCATGTCCTACTTAAACCAAGTGGGCATGTGGAGCAGAGGGCAGCCGTTGAACGTGTGGCAGCTGAGCTATCGCAGGTGTGTCTTGCAGCAGGGCACTGAGAGGTGCACAT